TCATTGGTGGGAGCTAAAAAAACAAACAAATTAATTCACCCACATACACACAGAAAAAAAACCGGGGGTGGGGGGAGGTGGGGAAGAAGATATAACAACTATACTTTTATGAAGTTGTTACAACAAGCAAACAGAAAAAGCAAACGGAAAGGACCTTCTTGCGGGGGAGGGGAGAGAGGGAGGAGGGAGGGAGGTGTCGGTGATGGGCCATAATAATCATATACAGTGTATATTGACAAAATAAAAATTTAATGAAAAAAAAAATAAAGAACACTGAATATATAAAAAAAGATGTTATACAATTAAACAAACAAACAAACAAATATCCCAGTGGAAAAAAAAAATAAGTGAAATCATACAACATTTGTCCATTTGTGCCTGGCTTATTTCACTTAGTATAATGTATTCAAGCTTCATTGGAATTGTAGGATGTGGATGTGTCATTCCTTTTATCTTAAAGAAATTTATTTATATTTTAATTGACATATATTGATTGTACATATTTATGGGGTACAGAGCTATATTTCTTATATTTCAATACAGTATACAATTGTGATGTTCAAATCAGGGTAATTAGCATGTTCATCATTGCAAAACTTTATTCTTTCTTTGTGATGAGAACATTTGAACTCCTCTCTTTTGGTCATTAGAGAAGATACAATAAATTATTGTTAATTATAGATGCCTAGCACTACTGTACACCACTAGAACTTACTTTTCCTATCTACTTGTAATTCTGTTCATTAACCAACCTCTCCCTATCCCCTTCCCTCTTCTCCCCTTCCCAGCCTCTAGTAATCACAATTCTACTCTCTACTTTTAAGAGTTCAACTTTTTTTCCCTAGCTCCCACACGAGTAAGAACATGTGGTATTTATCTTTCTGTGCCTCACTTATTTCACTTAACATAATGTCTTCTAGGTATATGTTGCTGTAAATGACAGAATTTCATTCTTTTTCATGGATGAGTAGTATTCCATGGTGTATATATACCACATTTTCTTTATCCATTCATCTGTCGATAGACACCTAGGTTGATTCCATATCCTGGCTATTTTGAATAGAGCTGCAATAAATGCAGGGGTGCTACTACACTCTCAGATACTTTTCACAATTTTTAAAAATGCATTTTCTGTCCAAATTCCTAACTTTCTCATTTCTCTGGGTGATGTCACCATTGTTCCAGTTTGCCAAGCTTGAGATCTTGATGTCACTTTGGATTCTTTGGCACTGATCTTCTCCTATGTTCATCTTGCATGTACCATTGTTTATTTCTTCAAAGTGTCCTCATATTCAGATCTTTTCATTTACTTTGCCATGACCTTAGCCCAGGTCTGAATACTGTGTATCACCTCGACAGCTCCTGATATAGCAACGTACTTCCAGACCATTCACCAACCAACACTCCAACATCATTGTCAGTATGATTTTCCTAAAACACCAATTTCATTATGTCACTCCTGCTCACGAATCTACAGTGGCATTAAGTTCGGGCTGCTTCATCTGCCTTTACAGGTAGTAAATTACCTGATTCCCTCTCATCTGTGCAACATTATTTTATGCTTCTTCTTTGGGCTTTCTTCAATGTTAGTCTCATAAGCCAAGCCTTTCCCCAGATCTATGCCATCGCTTTCCACTCACCTAATCTCACAAAACCATTTCCTATCGCTCTTCAAAACATATGCAGTCTCCATTTATTTCCTACATTTATTAGTTTTTTGATTTCCCCAACCACTTGCTACATTTCTTGAGTGCAGGATATTTGTTCTGTGATTTTTAGAGAATCCTATGGTTCTGGGCAGATGTATGCTTGCTGGTTCATGAAATAAGACAAAGTAACAGAAGGACACAAATTACAAAATGTGGAGACAAATTTTTATCAGAGCCCTTAGGAAGAAATTGCTTTACACCCAGGAAGAACTCTCTCATAGCACTTGTCAAATACCTGAAGAGCAAAACCACAGCTATTTAAATAGTTCCTTATGCATCTTTTGCATTGTGGTGTGCAAACTTGGGCCAGTGAATTTTCAAGGCAAAATGCTACCCAGGTGAGTCTGTTTCTCATTTTAAATAATTTTCAAAATATGTGAAATTCTCAAAAGGTTTTCCTGCTCTTCTCCTAACAGTCCAGATGGTATGTAGCCCCAGAAACACAGCATTCTAGGAAATATGAAATGTTCTCATTACTATTAAGTTTGGGAACTATTTTCAAAATAGTTCTTGAAAAGGTTTTAAATCCAGTTAATAAACAGAAATGTTTCCCCCTGAGGAGGGCTTAGGAGGGACAGATTCACACCTTATAATAATTTCATAGATGGCTAATTTGACGCTAAGTTGGGAATGCAAATCATTCTGCTGAGATGTCACATCCAGAAACTTAACCCTAGAATCTGGTATGCCCTCCTCTTGGGTTAGGACACAGGTGTTAGAATTCCAACATCGACCGATGCATGTTTAAGAATGGAATATGTCAAAGAAGGTCAGAAAAATAAGAGCTAGAGAAACTTAGAGACAGAGAGAGAGAGAGAGAGAAAGAGAGAGAGAGAGAGAGAGAGACCATGAGAGAATAGCATTGGAAGAATATTGCAATGATATTTCAGACCATAGGAACATTGTGAAATTTTATAGATAAGTTCATCAGTTAAAGGAAGCCAGGAGTTTGGGGTTATGAATAATGAATAAACAAAATCATACAGTCAAATGAGCTCATTTCCATCTCCTATTTATAGACATTGTTTTTAGATAGGTTTTTCACAAATACATACAAAATTTGGAGCTCACGTGACAGAGTGCATCTCTTATGTTTTGTTTTCTTCCCTTTCACTGCTCTTAGGTGAGTCAAATAGACAATCAGGGCTTTGACTTTAAACTGATATTCTTCCGGCCGAGCCCGGGGCACACTCGGGAGAGTGCGGCGCTGGGAGCGCAGCAGCACTCCCGCCGCGGGTTCGGATCCTATATAGGGATGACCGGTGCACTCACTGGCTGAGCGCGGTGTGGCCGGTCTCAAAAAAAGGACAAAAAAAAAAAAAAAAAACTGATATTCTTCTAATTCTTGCTAGTGCAGTGTGTAAAAGAGGCGTCTTAACAAAATGTTTTGAGGGCTCCCGATAGTAAAATGCTATTCTATCAACTACTGCAGTTACAAAAGTTAAAACTTAAAAATATCCACCATTGTACCAATATTTAATTAACAATGCTCTACCACTGTCAGCACCAGAAGGCCCTAAATAAACTATTGTTGTGGCTTGGTTGATGGACAGCCTGTCAGGAAATGATCAGTATTGGCCATGATTTAGGGCTAATTTCATGGATGTTTTCCAGTTTCCGTGATCTTCCTTTCCCCTTTTCCAAACAAAAGTGCTTCTGAAAATTTCTGTTTAACATCTTTCACTTTGAATAAAGAAAACATAAAACACTCCCCTTGCAGCTGGTATTGGTGAAATTACTTCTCTGGAGGGACCAGCAGATGAGAGGTCTTGTTTGAGAGGCACCAGGCAGAAGGTTTCATTCTGTATCAGAGCCCACACTCAGACATGCAACTTGAGATCTACCCCTCGTCCCCCTCTCTACCTACCTACGCGTGCACGTGCACACACACTCACACATGCACACACACACCAACTAAATGAATACAGATGGCTGGCACTCAGAGTAGTCATCTAGGAAAACAGCCGCAGGCCTCTCTGGCTGCTGTCATGTCATTTTACAAATAGAGAGCCTTCAAGATGTCGGTGTTGTTTCTTAATCTGAGATCACCCCCATTTGGGTGTTTAGCCATTTCCTGTTGGGAAATATAGCAGAAGCATGAGAAAGTTACCCAGAACTTTATTTGGCTAAAATCAAACATTCGTTTAAACTCACTGGTTATATATTTAATGAAAGCCATATTATGATAAAATCCATATCAGTTCCTAGCAGGCAATATTTTTCTCCTCCAGAGCTGCATGGCATCACCTGATCTATTTGTTTGTGTGAAATAAATTAATTTTTTAAATATAATATAAAAGAAGATAAAGCCAAACATGACAAATATTAAAAAGCAATCTAAATCTTTACACCCCCCACCAATCAAACAGAACATATGTTTCCCCATTTATTTCTATATAAAATATTCAATAATGACCTGAATTTGGAGGACATAATTATAAAGAGGTTGATATCTAAAAGGTTATTATTGATTTATAGAGTTCTCTAGTGTAATAGAAGACAGACTTAGGAATAAAAAAAAATACTGCTTTCTCCAGGAACAATAAATGTCTCAAAGGGGAAATGTTAAGATTTAAGAGTAATTTTTATAAGACATATATACTACAGTGTGTGGATCTAGGAGGTGTTTCTCATTGAACAACTTCTATGTAGTGAACGTTTTGTAGGGAACATTTTGTAGAGCCATCTCATGCACAGAGGAACATTTCATATTACTCAAAATACAGTGATTACATTCCCAGGATAATTTGTTAAGTCTGAATTCCTCAATTTCCCATTATGAATTTATAATCCTAGTCTGCAAATGAAATACTATATTAGGAAGTATAAAGTATTTATTTAAGCAAGAAATTTAGATTAAGTTAATCCCTGTCGTGTGTGTGTGTGTGTTTGTGTCTTTTTACACACACACATATAGACACCCCACCCCTCAACAAGTTCATCTAATGTAGAACAATAACATATGGCTGTATAATAAAAATTAAAACTTGCGTGGGAAGGATCCCCATACTTTAGCATTATACATGCTAAATTATTGTTGCAATGTATTTGTATAAGAGCAAACTGACTTTGAATATTTAGAGGATTGCATGGTACCAATATTCAGAATAAAACAGAAATAAAAGAAAATCAAATTTTCGTCCTTTAGGGAATATTTTAGTTTACCAAGTAATTCGCAAAAGCCTTAATCATACCTTAAACAGGATTTTAAATTGCACCAAAACTTCCTAACTTGTGGCTTCTAAATAAAGATTGGCCCAGTGCCAACAATCCAAAATCCAAATGCTTTAAGAAGTGAAAAACAAAAAGAAAAATAACGTGCCTAATAAGCCTGCCTAGCTTGGCGCATGTATGTAATAATATGCTATGACCACATACATAAACGTGTACAGTTTGTAACGTAGCACGTTTGTTTCTCCTTTTAATCTGATTTGCAGCTGAGGACAGTTTTGTCTTAAAAATGGCATTCATAAATAATCATAGACAAAGACTACAACTTCTGGCCAAGATGGAGTAACAAGGACTGAATTTACCCTCCCACCTCGAGCAACTGGAAAACTGGACAAAATACGTGAAATGGCAATTTTCAGACATTGGACAGCAGGCAGCACAGGACTGTTATCTCTGAGAGATGGGACACAGACAAGGTGAGTCCTGTGATTGCACCAGCTTAATGACTGAAGCGTTGCCAGACTGAACACGGAAAGCGCAACCCAGTGTTGGTGGTCTGGCTGAGGTCAGAGAAACAGAATTGGTGTTCAGAGAGGCTTAGACACCTAAAATGTGTAGGGTAGAGTACTGGAGAGAAGGAGCTATATGAGTGAAGAGAGAGAGGAAGAGATGAGAGAGAAAAGAAGATACAGAAGACAGGAGAAAATAGAGAATGCTATGAAGATCAGCCTAAGGGTCTCCTCAAGTTTTTGGCTGTGAACTCATCTGCACACACGTTAGAGTAAATTACCTGACACAGAGGAAAGAACCACTGGAAAAGATGAGGGAGACTAAGAGGACTGGGAATAGTTTGTGTTCCCATAAGCTTGAGTGGAAAGAACGCAGAACACAGGAGATTTCTCACAAAGACATTGCCTCAGTAGGGGCCTAAATTGCTGAACTGAAGAAAACTTGAGACTTAGTGGTAGAACGAAATGATGTAAGGTTGTTCACAGCTCTGTTTCTTGCTGTTAAAGTATTCTTCAACTGGCCCTTCAATTAAAGTGTGGCAATGACAATAGTAAGAATAAAGTATTAGGTAAAGTTTATTGAATGATTGTTGCATGTCATGCTCTGTGCTAAAGTAAATGTATTACCACGTTTAATCCTTACAACAACCCTTTGAGGTAGGTTACATTCTTATTTATAGAGCTGAGGAGCAGAGATAGGTTACCTGCCCTCCCAAGGACACATAGACAAAGGTCAGGCAAAGTATTTTTTGTATACAAGTAGGATCATCTTTGTAAATGAGTTTAATAATAGTTTCTGTTCCATTATAACTTTTTTGTACATTTATTTTAATAGTTTTCCTATGATTTCATATAAATATG